CATGTTCTCCACTCATGACCATAAAGCACCTGTTTTGCTACCTCCAGACCATAAGGACTGTCTCTACATTGAAGCACAACTCTTAAACTCTACCATCGCAGTATTGTAAATGACCTCATGGGCTTCGCCCTTGCCGCTAGCGGCTTATTTTTATCACGAATGACCTCATTGCTGACAAAAATAAATGACCTCAGAACTTCAACTTACGAATAAAGCTTGTTTTAGTCTGAATAGAAAAGTTAAACTTCTCTTCAAATGCAGGTGTAGCAGACTTACATAAGTCGAATGCAATCTCTTGACCGTCATAAAGTGCTTTATATAACTTCATAACACTGAACTCAGAGTCTTTGTCAAATTTTCCTTGCGGAACCATTAAACCTTTATCTTCATCATAGAAACACTGAACAGAGTCAGGAAACATTTCATTAGCGGTTAAAGCAATAACATCTTGCTTCACGCCTTTCATTCTGCAGTGAAATGCAACTTCATTTAAATCATTCGTGAGTAAGTCTATGTAAGTCTTCTTTCCACAAAATATTGACTTGTATGCTAAACTTTGTTTTCCAGGTGTGATTTCTGCAAAGTCGCTATGAAATTGACCAAGGTTTTTACCAATGAGAACTCTTCCATAACGTTTCTCAAACTCTTCAGCTAAACGAGGGATATCTTCATTGTAGAGATGCATACTGTCGGTATCGCTATAAAAGATGTCCATTCCTAAGTCCTCAGCAGTACAGAATACTTCACACATTATTCTCTTCGACATAGACAGAATGTTAACACCAAGTGGACAGAAGTTAAAGTGTCTGCAAATACTTTTCGTTAGCTTGAAAATAGTTTTATCTGAACCATCCAAACCTTCGAACTTCACTATATGGTTGTAGTTTCTGATGGTATATCTTATAGCATCTTTGTCATTTACTATGGTTATTTTTGACTCAATAGGAGATAGAATAGTTTTGCCATAAATACTGTTCAGAATGAGCTTTATATTTTCTTGCAAAGGATTTCCTTCTTTCTTATACTTTAACCTTAACTCAAACAACTTCTTTACTTCATCTCTTATTCTAATATCTCTGTTTCCATCGTAATAGTATCCTTGCAACACTTCACATTTGACACCTTGATATTTTATGAGGTCTTGTAATGTTATATGGTCAACATACATTAAACAGCAAGTGTTTGAACTTCTGGGAACATTAAGTTCTGGATTTAGTTCAGGGTCACAAACTATTAAAGGAAAGTGTCTATGTATTCCAATCTCTGTTATCTTAATGAGAACAAAGAAGCCAGACATAAACTTTTCACCAATGGGTTCCTTTTGGTCGTCATCAAATAAATGTCTCATGAGATACTCTGTGCTTAACATTTCTTTCTTCATAACCTTTGGAATACCTTCTAAAGTATAAAGTCTTGCTATAGCGGATGGATATAATGAAACAGCGTCGAAATCAGCAATGAGTTTCTTTTCGCTCTTTTGTTTAATGTTATCTGACAACATACATCTTCCACCTTGAATGCATCTCGAAATAAATTCTCTTGGTTTATTTGAGAGGTCATATAAATTTCCATTCGGGAAGTACACTCTGTTCTCAAACAATTTGTTAGCAATAGAACAAATACTAACGTAGTCATAAACGTTTAAATCAAATTCTTTCAATATGTCATTGCGGAACTTAACAAAACCTTCTCTTAAAATTCTTACATCTTGTTTGCAATAAATGAGCTATATTTTCTAAATCGAAGTGGTTCTCATCTATTCTGCAACCTTTGATGGAATCTATGTTCTTCATGAACGTATCTGCATCCTTGACAAACTTACATGCTTCAGAAATGACACCAGTTCTGTTGTCATTTGCTAACAAAACACTGCTGTAGTAGTTGTATGGAAATACTTCTTTCGGTCCTGTTTGTAAGTTAAACATAGCAGGAAATAGTTTAAGCTTCTTATTTATAAACACTGTAAGAGTCTTTTATAATAATTGCCCTTCCTTTATATAAGCCAGTTATTTGCATTGTTCGTGAACCTTTAATGATGGGAGTTCCTTTCACTTCTGTCATGTGTCTTAAGATGAAGTTTATATCATAACTGAGGTTATGGAAATATATTAAACTCTTGTCAGGAAGTCGCTCCAAAAATTCTGTTGCACAGTTCTGACCCCAAATGCTTTCACTCACTGAACCATCTTCATTGTCGTAACATATGTTAAAAGCTTTATGAAAGCCATCGGTACTACACTCAAAGTCAGCAAAGAAAACGTGCTCAGGAATGAACTTGCACTTATTTTTATTTACTTCTTTTGACTCTGCTTTCTTCTTCAGTTGTACACAACTACTTTGGAGCATATGTCAAATCTTTAAATGGTGCAAGGTTCTGTTTATATAAGTCAGTCGTATATGTGAAAAGTTCTCCATAAGAAATAGGTTCGAAATATTTGCACTCCCACAATGTTTTCATAACATCCCATAGCGGTGTTGTTCTATCATAACGAATTACATATTTATCTTCTCTCTTTGTATAAATCTTCATTTGTTTCTCAATGTTCATTCCACCACAAGCTTTGAGAATTTCTATATAGTTGCGAATGAAATATGTTGTCATTGGTAATCTTTCGTTTAGCATGTAGTGGTCTTCAACAAGAAGTAAGTCAATAGTTCTAACAGTTTCACATTCTTTTGGTATGTATCTCTTTATTTCATTATGTCTTGAGTCATTGAAATAACCAATGGTAACATTAAATGCTATACCTGTTGCGTCAGAAATTTCTTGTACTTTACTTTGAGGAAAGTCTCTAACACGAATGACTTCTCTCATGTGGTCAATAGTCTCTCCATCTACTCCAGCCTGAATGCAAGCATAACGAAACAATTGTCTTCTGTCATAAGTGTTGCAGTTCTTTTGTTCAGTTCATTGAAGATTTGGTAGCGTTCAAGATTTATAGGTAATGTGCAAAGATACTTCCAGAACTGACCGCTTCTCTTCTTATAAAACTTCTTTTCACCATTATCTTTCCAAAAGCTTTCTATAAGTGCTGGGTTTCCTGTTTGCTTAAGAGCTTCCAAAATGGCTTTCTGGTCATTTGTCAGTGTGCTTTCATCTCTATATGGTCTCTTTTTTGGTTTGCCTTTCTTTACATCTGACATCGTTAAGCCTTCATATTCTGTTAAATCATACATCTTTATTTCGGTAAGATTCTTTATGTTTGTCAAGAAGAAGTCATAGTGCATTTCAACAATACCTGCAGCATTTGCTTCTATCTCTGATATAAAGTTCTCCTTCAAGAGCTGATGTAGTAATGTTCCAATATTATTGAGGTTTAACGTAGAACATTCATACTTTCCACCAAGTTTATAACATACCATCCATCTCTGTTGTGAGTTTATTTTAATCTTCTCTAAGAGTCTCATGAAAACCTTACCGAAATGTTTGTGTAAGTAGTCTCTGTTTGGTTCATCTAAAGCTTCGATGTTAAAGTCAATGAGTCTATTGCCTGACTTCACATTTCTCTTCCTATTCTCTTCATCTTTCTTTAACCATCTCTCACCTTCTTTTGGTTTGTCGTCAATGGAACGAATGACATCGTTAGCTTTGCGAACTTGTTCTATAGCGCTCTTAAACATCTCTCTTCTCTGTTGTTTCAGTGTGTCGTCTCTTCTTCTTGTTTCACCAACGTTCGCATTTGTTATGTCAAACATCTCTTGACGAACATCATGCGAAAGAGCTTTACGAGTATGACCAATGTTTGCATTTGTTATGTCAAACATCTCTTGACGAACATCATGCGAAAGAGCTTTACGAGTATGACCAATGTTTGCATTTGTTATGTCAAACATCTCTTGACGAACATCATGCGAAAGAGCTTTACGAGTATGACCAATGTTTGCATTTGTTATGTCAAACATTTCTCTTCTTACTTCATGAGGTACTGAACGTCTATGATATAAGTCAATAGCAACGTCATTTAAAGGAAATGTTTTGTTATTAATGTGATCATGAATTCTATCATAACTTATTGCACCATTATAGTCTTTAATGAAGTCAGCGAGTGCTTTTTTGTTTGTTGCGTAATGCTTTGCAAACATCTATATTAGCTTCTGTAAGAAGTTGTTTTATTTCCGAGTGTTCTAACTTAGACAACTTCCGATACATCTTTAGTAGGAAATAAAAAAAATATTTTTGAAAAAATTAGATTAGATTTTTTTTAAGTTATTTTTCAAAATAATTTAATATTTTTATTTTAATGAACACATGCAAGATTGCAAGTTCTTTTCATACAATGCTCTCGCTACTGCCATCAAGAATGAGTTCAATAATGCTTCAAATGTTAATGTTATCTTTAACAAGAGTTTTTGTGAAAGAATCTAAGTTTGGTCAGTATGTCAGACCAAGCTATCGTCATTGACCGCAAACGTTATACTTCACAAGAGTTAGCAGTAGTTTTGAAACAAAAGAGTTTCTTCGTGAATGTCAAAGATACTCATTATACTGTCATAAAGAACTCTAACATTGACTTCTTCAGTATTGCTATGAATCTTTCCGAACAGAAAGAATATAAGAAGGGTGAAACAAATGTGAAATATTATCCTTCATCTCTGAAGACAATAACGAACAAAGATGTTATACAGAAATTCTTACCAAAGGTTGAAGAAGCTTCAATTGACATTGACGAAGGAAGTGAAATGGTTGAAGAAATTGACCCTGAAGCTATTTAAGCAAAAATATATTTTTGGTTAGTCTTCATATGGATATTTTACAACAATTCCCCAATGTATAAACTTTTCATACGCTTTTTCATAAGCTTTATATACCTTCAGAAATTTTGCATAATCTTTAGAAGCATTTAGATATTGTTTAAATGCTTTGTATGTCTTCATAAATTTTGCATAATCTTTTACATGCTGTTCGTTCTCCTCTTCTGTCATGAGTTCCGAATATTCTAAATTCATGTTCTTTCATATGAGATAAAATTTTATAAAAAAAATAAAATTAGCTTAGATTTTCATTCTTCCTCTTTGAAGTTATCGAAATACTCTGTTATTTTTTCTTTCAGTAGCGGTAAGTCTTCTTTGAAGGTAAGAATTGTACAACCTTTAATATTATAGTGTGTTTGAGGTAACGTATCTTGAACTATTTGTTTCACATCTTCATTTGGGGTCATTGAAATCGGTAAGTTTTCGCGATAGAACCAATTTCTGTCAGATTTGTAAATCTTAGCAAGGTCGTAAAAGCTCTTGTTGTTTCTTCTAACTAAATGCAACATAACCATATCTCTGTCTTCTTCATTTTCCATCTCTTCAGTATAAATCATATACTTATAGTTCTTTTCCTTTCCTTTTGGTACCGAACGTGGTATTCTTTTCTGTATGCTTTTGTCTTTGGATTCAAGCTTGTTCTCTAGCTCTTCACGTTCTTGTCTATGAATTTCGTCAAGAAGTCTGTAAACATGCCATGCATAACGAGGAGAAGCCCACATTGCAACAGCATTTACAAGAAGTCTATGTACATACCAACCTCTTAAATTTATTGGCAAATTTTTACGATTTTCATGTGTTTTATGCAAGGCCGATAAAAGTCGGTCTAGAGAAATTTCACTGTTTTCATGAGTTTTAGGCGACCCCGAAGGAAGTCGGTCTCGCTGTTCTTCACTGTTTTCAGAAAAAAGTCGGTCTCGCTGTGCTTCACTCAAAAGTTCTTGTGTGCTTTGGTTTTTGAACCAGTCGTCTGCGTGTTTAGTGTCTGGAGCAAAACATGCTGTCAAAATACTTTGCATTTGGTACATATCGTCTTTGACCGAACGAATGAGACGGAGTTGTTTGTTAAACTGTATGTACTCATATTCTTCATTTATGGCTTCATGAACGATAGCAGTTGTTGTGTTCTCTGATGTTGTCATTACTGTCTTTACATACAAAATAAAAAAATAAATAAAAATAAAATTAGCGTTATTTTTTCTGAGATAAACACTATTTCTTCACAACATTAAATTTTATCCTGTATGAAATGACTTTAAAAAGATTATTGACTGACTTCGAATACTATCTCATTGACGCACTGATAGACCCTCAAAACTGTGTTGAAAGTTCTTTAAGCTTTAAGATTGAAGGTACGACGCATTTTGTCTTCACTTACGTATTGAAAGAATATGACCGTTATCATAACGAAGTGAATCAAACACTAATAAAATTTGTAGATAAAAAATTGGTTAACAATGAATATTTTAAACGTGAAGACCCAAACACTGCTGGAGATGATGAAGAATACAGACAAGCTATTGAAAAAAATAACGCAAGATTAGATGCAATAGAAAAGAATTTTAATGAATGTCTTACAAACACGTATGAATATCTTATGCGGTGGGAAGCTAGATGGAAATAAATTTACGTCAAATATGCAATTTATAAAATCTTATGTCGACAGGCTACGTAGCACAGTGGTCTAAGGTGGTGTTATGGAGGGGTCAGAGTCTGTGGTTCGAACCGCGACAGCGCCGTATTTTCTTATTTTCTTTGTTTGTCTTGTTTGTCGTGAATAAAAAGTGTCATAAAAGTGCTCTATCTTCCACGGGAATAAATAAAAAATTTACTTTATTTCTTCTTTATTTCTTTGTTCCCGTGGAAGAAGGGTTTTGCTGTTTTTTCTCAGCCGAAATCAATGATTTTTTCATTTTTGGAATCCTTAGCGAATGAGGAATCTTTTCTCTCGTGGAAGCTTTGAACAAAAATATAATTTAGGTGAAGAGGTGAGATCTCACCTGTTTTTTCACCTCTTTTTCACCCCTTGAACTTTTTATAACATTCGGTCATAACTTCATCAATTTCATTTAAATCACGATTTAAAAACTCATTGACTTCATCTTCAACCGTGTCATCTTGTAATAAGAATATTTTCTTTAGTTTCATGTCAACATCCCGAACAGCACAAAGGATAAAATCATATTCATTTCTTCCGTTAAACATACTTTTTCTTTCTCGTTCATCGTTAAATAAATTATTGAAAATATAAACAGCGGTGTAAAAGTTATGTACTGTGTTAAATGTTGAAGCTTCACCTATTTTAGATTTTAGGATTCTTTTAGTAAGTAAATTGTTATCGTTCTTTCTCTTTTCCTTATCGTTCATGTCGAATCTGTCGAACCACATATCCTGTATTTCATCGAATTTACGAACTATAGAATTCGTCATTTCCCTGGTTAATGAGGGGTAATCATTATTAATTTTTTCATATAATTTGTCCATATGATTTTCATCGACGTTTCCGGAAAGCATTTAATTAAAGCAAAAATAATGTTTAGGTGAAGAGGTGAGATCTCACCTGTTTTTTCACCTCTTTTTCACCCCAGTTTTTTTTCACAAGCGTTTTACATGAATTGTACGATGTATATTTGAAATCCTAAACAATTTCGTAGCTTCTATTTCTTCTGTCAGTATGTCAAAAGTTTTAACAATACCGAAGGTTTCTTTATACTTCTTCTTGACGTCAGATAGAAGGAAATCTTCTGCTGTTGGATAGTTTTTGTTCAGAAATTCTAACATGTTCATTTTATCTTCTACTGGCTTTTCTGCTTCTTTCTTTAAGTCTGCATAGTCGTTTCTCATTCTTTCTATCTCTTTGACTGAGTAGTTATATTTCCTAATTGCTGCCTTACATTTTGAACATTGCGGGTTCATTTTTGCGTTATACATTGAAATAAAACCAGCTAAAACAACTAAGGCGTCAATTGCTCTCTTCATCTCAAACATAGCGGGTCTTATTTGTTCGTTCCATACTTTGCCTCTTCTATCTTTATCTCTTATTTCCCAAACACATTTTGCAACTAATGAAACAAAGTTATCGTAAGTCTTAAACTCCTCAGATTTATATATGTCAGAAATGTTTTTATATACCATGTCGCAATCTTTGTCCATAACCTTATGGTTGCAATGAAAACCAAGGAATTCATAGTTTACCTTTCGTATGAACTTCTTTATTTCTACTGAGTCAGTTGGTTTCACTTCAATTTCGTCGAATTCAGGAATAGTGAGTTTTTGTTGTTGGATTTCAGGCAATTTGGGTAAATGGTCAATAATGTCCTGCATTTCATAAAGATATTCTTCATTTTCTTCATCTTTCGCACTACAGTCTAAATTACTTGTTAAAAGTTCTTGCTTTATCTTCTGGATTTTTGTTTCAAAAGTATATGAAGAAGGAATGAAGTTTTTCATCTCTACTAACATTGACGTAGGATTCATGACTAACGAGTTTGGTGCTGTTGTTGTGGACAGAGTCCCGCCGTTCGCGGCTTGAATTGTTGTTGTGCCGATTGTTGAAATCATATCTTTTATACAAAATAAAAAAATAAAAAAAATAAAACTAACTTTATTTTTTATTTCGGGAAAATTCATGAAAATTCAAGAGACCCAAAGGGTCTGAGCCGCTATGCGGCGAGGGTGAAAAAAGAGGTGAAAAAACAGGTGAGATCTCACCTCTTCACCTAAACATTATTTTTGGTCTTTTGTGAAAATTCATGAAAATTCACGGGGTGAAAAAAGAGGTGAAAAAACAGGTGAGATCTCACCTCTTCACCTAAATTATATTTTTGTCTGATTTACATCTAATGAAAAAGTTTAGAAGAATTTTCTTATTCTTTCTGGCATATTTTTGTCTTTCCAGTACTCCCGCTCTAATGGTCCCAGATGTGTTGGCTTCGACTCTCTCAAGTTCTTAGATGGTATAACATCTTCAACGCCTCCTTCATATCTTACTTTATAAGTGTCATCGTTTGTGTTATAGCCAAGTATTTTAATAACCACTCCTCGCTTTGCTTCGTCAATGGTTTCAGCAAGTTTGCCATTACTACTTTCGACTAATTTATGTCGAGGATAAAACGCAATAGAGTCGTCGGCAGCTTTTATAAGATATCCATTACCTTGCGTAGAGTCTACGATATAATAATTTCGACTTAACCTTAAACGTTTCTTTGTCAACGGTTTGTCGTCAAGAACTACACGAACTTTTGTTCCAGGAATGAGGGTAAATTGTGTTGAATTTCTGATATTTTGTGTTTGGCTTCGTTTCTTTTGTATATACTTTTCTTCTTGTTGTTGTGTCATTGAATTTGGTGTATGTCCTGTTGTAGAATGTGTTGAGGAATTATATACTTCGAGAAAATGTTTCATTGTTTCTTCGGTAAAGTCTCGCTCTTGGTTTAAATCTCTGAGAGTCCTTATGAAGCGGTTTATGATGCCGAGTATGTTATGGTTATGGTCTTCAGTAGTGTAGTGAGTTATGTTATGCTTAATGAGAAATTCTGTGATTTCATTGCTGAGGTATGCACTGTCTTGGTCTGATGTTAAAGTACTTGGGTTATGTTCTGCTACAAACTTTTGTAAAACTCTTAACACTTCACGAGTTCCTTTATTTTTCATTGGATATGCATATGCTTTACGAGTGTTAACATTTATGAAGATGAGGAATGGTTTATGTCCTCCTTTTCTGCTTTGAATGAGAGTGTCAAATTGGTATGCGTCAGGAGTGTTGGAGTAAATTGGTAAAAAGTAGTCGTAAGGGTTTATTTTTGTTTGATGTACAACATTTTTGTCAAAGAACCTTTTCACTTCAGCTCTGTTAGTAAATCCCCGACTCTTTGCAGCTTCATTGAACTTCTTAAATGACCTCCATGGATGTTGTTCGAATACTTCTTTCAAGCTCATTTATGTAAAGTTAAAGAGTTTAACCAACTCGTATCCAAGCGTGCATTGTTATATAAGGAGGCATATAATCTTTTCCATTACCTGCTGGGTCTGTAATACCAGCTACAACATGTGTATGATTTCCTGCGGTTCCACAGAAAATACCTGTGCTTGAATCTACTGGGTCAGTTGAAATATCATATCTATGCATTCCCTGTCTATCCGAACCCGCTGCAAGATTTGTATAACCTCTTTTTGTTATTGAATGTGAATGGTTTCCTTCCACAGATGTTCTTCCACTGAACCTATGCATATGTGAAGAAGGTTTTCAATACCTATTTTCTTTGAACCTCCCATCTTCATTGACTGCGTATTAGTGTAGAATGGAAAACTGTCAACTATTTCATACCATCTACCACCAAATAAAGTGTTTGGATTTATTGGATTCATAGACGTATAAACAGCTCCTATAGGATATATTAAATCATATATGCTCATAACTCTATAAACATATTCTAAAGAACTTATGTCATTAAATACCATTTGGAATGTATCTCCCGGATGAAATGTTGCATTTGTTCCACTTTTATAATGTAATGTTAGTTCAATAGAATTATCCAAGAAAAATTCAAAAGTATCTGGTTGAAGACCTCTAACAAATTCAAATGGAGTTGCTGGTTCACCATTTATAATTTCTGTTGTAAATGTCATTGTATCTGGTTTCGAAAATTTCTTTGTTAGTTCTGCATCCACATAAGTTTTATCTGCTTTCTTATCTAACATTGTTGGTAGTTCATGTGCTTCAAAGTTTCTGGCATGACTTTCAATGTTCCTGCAACTCTTATCTAAACTGTTAAGAGTATCTTTTACGCTTGTACTTGGATTTTCTAATGGTGCACTTGAACCAAGGTCAAAGTTCAATATTATGTCGTCTGCTCTAACAGTAGTGAAGGATTTATGTGTATGGTTCTTGTCAGCTTTACTGTCTAATGTAGCTTGAAGTTCATTTATATCGGAGATGTTGTGTTTATGAGATTTCAAAACTTTGTTCGTTGCTTCGAGTTCAACTTTGTCAGCTTTACTTTTAATAGCATCTTCAAACGTTATTTTTGCCTTAACTCTCAAAGTAAATCTTGGTTCAACTAATACACCGTTAACATTGAAAGTAGAGGCATAAATTTCACCGGTATAACCAAATGCTTCTGGTGCTTTAGCTACATCATACTGTACAGTACAGCTTATGTCATAACCTTTAGCACGAATGTATTTATATCTTCTTTCATTAACATTTTTTGTCTTCGCTTCATCACTTCGTGTTAAATATCCATGGTAGTCCGTTATAATCTGTTCGTCTGAAGTTATATAATGAACATGGTTCTTGTCCGCTTTACTATTTAATGTAGCTTGAAGTTCATTTATATCGGAGATATTGTGTTTATGAGATTTCAAAACTTTGTTCATTGCGTCAAGTTCATTTTTGTCCGCTTTACTATTTAATGTAGCTTGAAGTTCATTTATATCGGAGATATTGTGTTTATGTTCTTTATCTGCTTTTTCGGCTAATTTCTCTTCTATCTCATTTATTTCAAGTTCATGCCTACCACCACCTCCCGAAGAAGTATTTTTCTTCAGCTCTTGAAGAACGTCCACTTCACCATCTTTGGTGTCAATAATGAGACTTTGTGTTAAAACCTTTCCTGTCTTAATGGATGTTTGTAAAACTTCTTCTTCACCGTGTTCGGGGTCATGGTCGTCATCATATCTTGTGAAATCAGAGATGTTGTCATACATTAAACATATCTGTCTCAAAAGTTCTGCTATTTGAAACTGGAACGAAAGATATACAGAACTTTCATCATCTCCTAAAGTCAAGTCTGCTTTCTTAAGTATTTCTTGAATGTATGCAATGAGAACAGAGTACCTTGGAAAATATTCGAACAATATTTCATTAGCTGTTGGTTTTGGTGGTTCTTCTGGAGTTTCTGTTGTTTCAGTTCCTTCTGTAGGTTCTGTTGGAGTTTCTGCATCTCTTGACTTCAATGCTCTTGCTCTCAAAGACCTAAATGTTAGAGCACCGGGTTTTACAAAGGACTTTATAAATGCTTTAATAGTTCCTGGTAAGTTATTGTTAGCATTAAGTAAGTTCCTTATGCTTCCATCATGTACGTCCATAGCACTATGTAAAAAATCTATACTTTTCTTGTAGTCAGCAATAGACTGACTGTGATTTTTTAAAGATTTGTCAATACCTTTAAGCCAATCTTCATGCATGTCTGATACTGAGCCAAGAATATCATTTGCTTCCTTTAGTGTATTTTGTGCTTGTCGTAAAGTATCCAATCCCGTACGTGCATTGTTTGCTATACGTCTTACAGTATCTATTTGACTCCTTGTTTCTTGCATCCAACCAGATAAAGTTTTAATAGTATCCGAACCATTTGAAATGAAGTTCAAAGCATTTTTAACGTCATTTAAAGCTTCTTCACCAAGTACTGCCCATATCTTTCCGATTTGGTATTGAAGAACTCCATATGAAGCAGCTGTTAAACCAGTATTTATAAGGTCCCATATCCATGATTTAGCAGTTTTTCCATCCTTTCCATCCTTTCCATCCAAACCGTTTTCGCCTTGAGGTCCTTGTATTCCTTGTATTCCTTGTATTCCTTGTATTCCTTGTGGTCCTTGAGGTCCGGTGTCACCCTTCTCTCCTTTCAGTTCATCTTTATGTTCGTTATAATATTCTAATGTCATAAGGTGTACATCATTACTGCTACCAGCAACGCCAAGAATTTGTTTCTCATTCATGACTAAATTCTTTAGGCATTTAATGTTGTCGTCAAATCGAAAGCTCTTTAACAATTCAATGAGAACATTTAATACTTTCACTAATGAGGCATCTACTGTAGAATTTATATATTGCACCGTTCCATCATTTATGATAGGAACCTTGCTTGTTGTAATGAATGGGTCATAAGTGTTAAAAGTATCGAAATCAATGACTTTTTTAGTTTTTCCATCGTCAATGACTAAATCATTGCCTTCAATGGTTAAAGTTGAGTTTTCGTTTACTAGTTCATGTGCTCTTCTTGCTTCATTTGTTTCATACGCATATGCAGCAATAGTCATATTTTAATGAGAATAAAATGTTGTTCTATTTGCAAAGTACAGACCCAAACGAATATGGAACAGTAAAGCTTCAAACAAACTTAGGTCTTCAGAATGAAGCACTTGCTTTCAGAGTTGTTGACTTCAATACTATCGCAACTTTTGTCATAACAGATGAAACAGATTTCATAGAGTTTGAAATAGATGACAAAAGAAGTTTTATAACATTTCCTAACAGAGCAGAGTATAGAATAGATAAAATTGCTGGAGTCATAGGTACTCTCATAAATGAAGAAACTATTGACAACATAGATGTCGAACTCTCTTCTGAGGGAACATTGAAGTTCAGTAGCAAGAAAGAGTTCAAGATAACACGAATGAGTCATAGAGTTCAACTTCTTTTGGGTGCATACCATATGACATTTCCTTTGAAAAGTGTTGACAAAACGATTGAGATGAAATCTGTTCCATACGTATGTTATGGTAATTGTTTATACATTGAGTCAAAAATAGCTAATGTCACAGGCATTTCAGGAGTT